ATGGGTGTTTTGGCGGGTCTTATTTCATATCCGCCGGGTACTGGGTAGGTGGTGTGCGTGGGTACTGGGTAGGTGGTGTGGGGTACTGGGTAGGTAGTGTGGGGTGCTGATAGGTGAAGGGGAATACTGGGTAGGTGGTGTGGGGGCACTGGATAGGTAGTGTGGGGGCACTGCAGGTGGTGCGGGGCACTGCAGGTGGTGTGGGGGCACTGCAGTGTGGGGCGCTGCAGGTGAAGGAACACTGCAGGTGTGGGGGCACTGGAGGAGTGGGTAGGTGGTGTGGGGGGCACTGGGTAGTTGGTGTGGGGGCACTGGGCAGGTGGTGTGGGGGCACTGGGTGAGGTGGTGCTAGGCTGACAGGCAGTGGGGGGCGAGTGTGGGGGTGCTCAGTGTGGGGGTGCCAGGTGGTGGCATGGGGGTGCTGGGTGGTGGTGTGGGGTGCTGGGTAGTGTGGGCACTGGCAGGTGGTGTGGGCACTGCAGGTAGTGTGGGGGTGCTGGATAGGTAGTGTGGGTGTGGCAGGTGGTGTGGAGGCACCTCGGTGGTGTGGGGGCACTGGAGATGGTGGGGGTACTGCAGGTGGTGTGGGCCTGCAGGTGGTGTGGGGCACTGCAGGTGGTGTGGGGCACTGGGTAGGTGGTGTGGGGGCACTGCAGGTGGTGTGGGGTTACTGCAGGTGAAGGAATACTGGGAGGTGGGAATGACTGCAGGTGGGTGGGGGCACCGGATAGGTGGGGCACTGGGCAGTGGGGGTGCTAGGCAGGTGGTGTGGGGGCACTGGGTAGGTGGTGTGGGGTCTGCAGTGGGGTGCCAGGTAGGTGGTGTGGGGCACTGCAGGTGGTGTGGGGTGCGCTGGGCAGGCAGTGTGGGGGTGCTGGGCAGGTGGTGTGGGCACTGCAGGTGGTTACTGCAGGCAGTGTGGGGGGGCTGGATGGCAGTAGTGTGGAGGGTTCTGGGTGAGGTGGTGTGGGGTGCTGGGTAGGTGGTGGTTGGCACTGGCAGGCAGTGGGGCACTGGCAGGTGGCGTGGTGCTGGGTAGGTGTGGGGGGCACTGCAGGGTGGGTGCTGGGTAGGGTGGTGTGGGGGCGCTGCAGGTGGTGGGGATGTTGGGTAGGTAGTGTGGGGGCACTGGTTAGGTGGCGGGGTGCTGGGAAGGTGGTGTGGGGCACTGGGCAGGTGGGGTGGGGGTGCTGGGAGGTGGGGGTGGGTGGGGTGCTGCGAGATGGTGTGGGGGCTGAAGGTTGTGTGGTGGCACTGGTTAGGTAGTGTGGGGTACTGCAGGTAGGTGTGGGGGTCCTGGGAGGTAGCGTGGGGTCCTGGAGATGGCGTGGCAGGAGGTAGGGCTGGGCAGGTGGTGGGGGCACTGGGCAGGTGGTGGGGCACTGGGCAGGCAGTGTGGGGTGCTGGGTAGGTTCGGGACACTGGCAGGTGGTGTGGGGATACTGGGCAGGTGGTGTGATACCAGGTAGGTGGTGTGGGGTGCTGGTGGGCAGTGTGGAACTGGGCGGGTGGCGGAGGGCGCCGGGCAGGTAGTGTGGGGTGCTGGTTAGGCAGTGGGGTGCTGGGGTAGTGTGGGGGTGCTGCAGAGGCTTAATGGTGCGGGCAGGTGGTGGGGCTGGGCAGGTAGTGTGAGGGCCCTGGCAGGCAGGTGTGGAGGTCCTGGTTAGGCAGTGGGGTGCTTGGCAGGTAGTGTGGGGCGCTGGGGCAGTGGGGTGCTGGGTGGGAGGTGGGTGCACAGGCAGGTGCTGGGGTGCCGGGTAGGTGGTGGGTGCTGGGCAGGCAGTGTGGGGTGCTGGGCAGGCAGTGTGGGTGCGCGGGTGGGCAGTGTGGGGGCGCTGGTGGGCAGGGTGCATGGCGGTAGGTGTGGTGGGCAGGCAGTGTGTGGGGGCGCTGGCAGGCAGTGTGGGGGTGCCGGCAGGCGTGGGTCCTGCAGGTAGTGTGGGGTGCTGGGTAGGTAGTGTGGGTGCTGGGTAGGTGGTGTGGCCTGCAGGTAGTAGGGTGATGCTGGGTAAGTGGTGGGGACCTGGGCAGGTGGTGTGGGGGTGCTGGAGGTAGTGGGGGCCTGCAGGTAGTGTGGGGTGCTGGGGAGGTAGCGTTGGGGTGCTGGGCAGGAGGCTTGGGGCACTGGGGTGGGGTGCTGCAGGTAGTGTGGGGGTCCTGGGAAGGTGGTGGGGGTGCTGGGTAGGGTGGGTGGGGGTGCTGCAGGTAGTGGGGGCCTGGAGGGTTGTGTGGGGGTGCTGGTAGGTGGGTGGGGTAAAGGTAGGTAGTGTGGGGGTCCTGGGAAGGTTGTGGGGGTGCTGGGTAGGTGGCGTGGGGCTGGGTAGGCAGTAGGAGATGTTGGGTAAGTGGTGTGGGGGACCTGGAGGTCGGGTGCTGGCAGGTAGTGGGGTGGGTCCTGGGTAGTGTGGGGGTGCTGGGTAGAAGTGTGGGGGTGCTGGGTAGGAGGTTTGGGGGGCACTGGGAGATGGGGTGGGGGGGTGCTGGGTAGGTAGTGTGGGTCTGGGGTTGGGGGGTGCTGGCAGGTGGGTGCTGCAGGTAGTGTGGGGTCCTGGGAAGGTTGTGTGGGTGGGTAGGTGGGTGGGGTGCTGGGCAGGTAGTGGGGGTCCTGGAAGGTTGTGGGGTGCTGGGTAGGTGGGGTGGGGGTGCTGGGTAGGGAGATTTGGGGCACTGCAGGTGCGGTGGGGGGTGCTGGGGAGGTGTGGGGGGTGCTGGGTAGGTGGTGGGGTGCTGGTGGTGCGTGGTGCTGGGTGGGTGGGTGGGGGGCACTGCAGGTGGTGTGGGGTGCTGGGCAGGTAGTGGGTCGGGTAGGTGGGGTGCTGGGCAGGTAGTGTGGGGGGCCCGGGCAGGTGGTGGGGGGTCCTGCAGGTAGTGGGGGTTCCCGGCAGGTGGTGGGGGGCCCTGCAGGGGGTCGGTGGTGGCGGGTGCTGGGTAGGAGGTTTGGGGGCCGCAGGTGGGTGGGGGTGCTGGTTGGCAGTGGGGTGCTGGGCAGTGTGGGGGTGCTGGCAGGTGGCGGGGGATGCTGGTAGGTTGTGTGGGGGCAGGTGGCATGGGGGCACTGGATAGGTGGGTGGGGGCACTGGGCAGGTGGTGTGGGGGTGCTGGCAGGTGTGGGGTGCTGGGCAGGTGGGTGGGGGTTGCAGGTGGGGTGGGGGTGCTGGGTAGGTCAGGGGGTGCTGCAGGTCTTTGTGGGGGTGCTGGGTGGGGTGGGGGTGCTGCAGGTGGGGTGGGGGTGCTGGGCAGGGTGGTGGGGGGTGCTGGGCACGTAGTGTGGGGTGCTGGGCAGGTGGCGGTGATGCTGCAGGTGGTGTGGGGCAGGCAGGTGGCATGGGGACTGGATAGGTGGGTAAAGGACTGGGTGAGTTGGTGGGGGGGCTGGCAGGTAGTGTGGGGCGCTGGTGGCATTGTGGGGCACTGGGAGGTAGCGTGGGCCGGGCAGGTGGTGTGGGGGTGCCGGGCAGGTGGTGGGTGCTGGTGGGTGGTGTGGGGGTCTGGGTTCGGTGGTGTGGGGGTCCTTGGTTTGCGGTGTGGGGGGGGTGGTGGGGGTGCTGGGTAGTGTGTGGGGGTGTTGGGCAGGTAATGTGGGGTTCTGCAGGTGGCGGGGTGCTGGGCAAGGGTGTGTGGGGGTGCTGGGTAGGTAGTGTAGAGATGCTGGTTAGGTGGTGTGGGGGTCCTGCAGGTGGTGTGGGTGCTGCAGGTAGTGTGGGGTCCTGCAGGTGGCGTGGGGTGCCGGCAAGTGGTGGGGGTGCTGGCAGGTGGTGTGGGAGATGCTGGGTAGGTGGTGTGGGGTGCTGGGCAGGTGGTGTGGTCCTGGGTGGGTGGTGGGGTGCTGGGTAGTGGTGTGGGGGTGCTGGGTAGGTATGTGGAGATGCTGGGTAGGTGGTGTGGGGGTGCTGCAGGTGGTGTGGGGTGCTGGGCAGGTGGGTGGGGTGCTGGGTAGGTGGTGTGGGGGTGCTGGCAGTGTGGGGTCCCGGGTGGGCGGGGGTGCCGGGTGGCAGTGGGGGGTGCTGCAGGTAGTGGGGATGCTGGGTGGGTGGTGTGGTGGGGGTGCTGTGGCAGGGTCCTGTAGGTGGCGGGGGTGCCGGGTAAGTGGTGGGGTGCTGGGTAGGTAGTGGGGATGCTGGGTGGGTGGTGTGGGGTGCTGGGTAGGTGGTGTGGGGGTCCTGGCAGGTGGCGTGGGGGTGCCGGGTAAGTGGTGTGGGGGTGCTGGGTAGGTAGGTGTGGAGATGCTGGGTGGGTGGTGTGGGGGTGCTGGGTAGGTGGTGTGGAGATGCTGGGTAGGTGGTGTGGGGGTGCTAGGTAGTGTGTGTCCTGGGTGTGGGGGGTGCTGGGTGGGTGGTGTGGGGGTCCTGGCGGGTTGTGTGGGGTGCTGGGTGGGTAGTGTGGAGATGCTGGGTAGGTGGTGGGGTGCTGGGTAGGTGGTGTGGGTCCTGGGCGGGTTGGGGTGCTGGGTAGGTAGTGTGGGGTCCTGGGTGGTGGCGTGGGGTGCCGGGTGTGGTGTGGGGGTGCTGGGAGGTGGTGTGAGATGCTGGTGGTGGTGGGGTGCTGGAGGTGGTGTGGGGGTCCTGGGTGGGTGGCGTGGGTGCCGGGTGGGTGTGGGTGTGCTGGGTGGGTAGTGTGGGAGATGCTGGAGGTGGTGGGGGTGCTGGGTAGGTAGTGTGGGGGGTCCTGGTAGGTGGCGGGGTGCCGGGGTGGTGTGGGGGGTGCTGGGTGGTAGTGGGAGATGCTGGGTAGGTGGTGTGGGGTGCTGGGTAGGTAGTGTGGGGGTCCTGGGTGAGGTGGCGGGGTGCCGGGTTGGTGGTGTGGGGGGTGCTGGGTAGGTAGTGGAGATGCTGGGTAGGTGGGGTTGGGGTGCTGGGTAGGTAGTTTGGGGTGCTGGAGGTATTGTGTGGGTCCTGGGATGGTAGGGTGGGTCCTGGGTGGTTGTGTGGGGTGCTGGGTAGGTGGTGTGGGGGTGCTGGGTAGGTGGTGTGGGGCAGTCATGATCAGTAGTTATTTGGAGTCATCATGTCAAATATATTCGGGTCACTCGGCTAAGACAAACCCTCAGCACAACTCCCAATCTGTTGTACACGAGATATGTGGACCATATTTTTATCAACTCTTCATACCATATTACCGCCAACAAAATATCACAATGTTTTTTTTATATTAATACAAACACTCGCTTACGAATTTATTCAAAGGACTATTCTACAATGACAAGTCCTACAGTCAGGTTATGTAATATTTGACAGCGCTAAATGAAAGCAAAGTTTAGATTGTGTGCTGCGATGGGCCGTCTAGTGCTTAACACGCAACAACTACAAAAATTTCCCTTGATATATAATTAACACATCCATAATGTTAATGATATAATCATATAAAAATGATTCTGTTCTTCATAACGCTAGACAATTTTATTCAGGTGAGTGAAAACCGTTTGGTTCCAATATGTGGACACCTCAACGTCATACTACAACATACCAGCAATTACAGGGACCAACACTCACAGGTCAGTGGTCATTCCCCTCTCTCCTCTCCCTGTCTCTTCACTGAACACGGCCTAGCCACCACCGCCACGGTCCTGTCTTATCGCACACAAAGTAGATCGGACTGTCAATTAACTCTTGTCAGCCAACAGTTCTCCACCAAAGACACATCTATGAACCCTAATATAAAGTGTTAGTTATCAAAATCTGCAAAGTTGTGGACATGGAAGCATTAGTGGAGCATGTTAATGGCTGTCCTACAGGCATTAACGGTACGATCACCGGACACTCCCAGTTCACCCAGCTGTAAATGGGTATCCAAATCTCCAACTTGGGAAAGTGAAGACAGTTGAGTGCAGTACCGACCATGCTGCCTCCTTGTGTACCGAAGGCTTAGTGTACAGTGTGTTGTACTGTCCATCTGTTCGTGTAAATTAGACCAACATTGATATATAAATATTTCATCTAAGCAGAGAAGCGATGGTTGGCGAAGAGGGCGATTGATTGGTCGGGGATGTACCTACCCACCCACGTCAACAAGAGCAGCTCCTGTGGTCGGGCAGTTGAGGCAATGTTTGACTCCTTCACCAAGAATGAGACGTGGGCAGCCGAGAGTAAGCTAGTGACTGGTGGTGTTCAGGGTCACGTATGTCCCCCTCCCCCCCAGTCCTAACCTAACCTAACCTAACCTAACCTAACCTAACCTAACTATTATGACTGCCCCGGGAGTAGTAGGCCCCAAACTAAGTATTAACTTACGGTCCCAGCCGTAAAAAGCCCTAACCCAACCTGACCTAATCGTTATAACTTAATCCAACAAAAATAGTTTCTAATCTTCGCGGGTCATACTTATGAAGATTAAGTTAGATTGGATCAAGTTGAGGCCTATTGGGACTGGGGTTCATTTAGGTTGACAGGTGACAGGTGACCCCACACATCACCCACCATCAGTATCTGTCACTTTATATAACATAAGTAGTGTTTTAGATGTTATTGTGAAAATAGCATAATTTTTTAGAAGTCATGGGTAAATGCTCCCTCGGCGGACCTCAGTCTGTTAAGGGCAGTGATTAATCTAATATACTATAGCGCTATCCGAATGTATGTCTGTCTGTCTGTCTGTCTGTCTGTGCAGCCGAAACGGCACAGTCGTTTTTCATCAAACTTGGTGGAAAAATCGCAAAAAATTCGTAGAGTGGAACAAACGTGGTCCCATGTCTATGGGTTCTTTAGGAAGCCATTAATTAACCATTATATTTACGATGAAAAACGAACCCAAATTAACCATGCAAGTCTACGGAGTTGCCGCACCCTCATTCACCGTACGCTGTCAGCCGGATACCATACAATACCATACAATACCATACAATACCATACAACCCAATACACAACGAACTATAAATATTTGTAAGAATAAAACATAATTATATAGACATGTAAGACTCACAACTTGATAAGATATCAGTAAGACATTAGCTATTGGAAAGGTGATTAAATGTTTTGTTATTAATCCAGTGTGAAATGTATCGGTATTGGTGGTACAATGCTAATGGTCTCTAATCCTGTTGATCAGAAGAGGTTAATCTGGGTTTATTGAGATTAAAGATAAGGTGTGGGGTTTATTCTACCTGTGTTAGTCTCAGGTACGACCCTTATTGTAACAATCACGACCATGATTATAACAACCACGACCATGATTATAACAACCAGGACCATGATTATAACAACCACGACCATGATTATAACTACCACGACCATGATTATAACAACCACGACCATGATTATAACAACCACGACCATGATTATAACAACCAGGACCATGATTATAACTACCACGACCATGATTACAACAACCACGACATGATTATAACAACGACGACCATGATTATAACAACAACGACTATAGTCGCATACCGAAATGATTACCAACAACCGACTATGATTATAACACCCGACCATGATTATAACAACCACGACACGCAGGTTATATAGCCGACCGATTATAACAACCGACCATGAACCTGCGCTTACGACCATGATTATAACAACCGACCGCCCAGTTATAACAACTACGACCATGATTAAAACAGCCACGATACATGATTAAAACAACCACAACCATGATTTTAACCGACCATGATTATAACAACCAGGACCATGATTATAACTACCGACCATGATTTTAACAACCGACCATGATTTTTAACAGCCGACCATGATTATAACAACCAGGACCATGATTATAACTGCCACGACCGTTACTTAACCACGACCGCGGAATTATATCAAACACGACCATGAATATAACAACCGCGACCATGATTATAACAACCACGACCATAAATATAACAACAACGACCATGATTATAATAACCAGGACCATGATTATAAAAACCAGGACCATGATTATAACAACCACGACCATGATTATAAGAACCACGACCATGATTATAACAACCACGACCATGACTATAATAACCACGACCATGATTATGCCAACCACGAAAATGATTATAACAACCACGACCATGATTATAACAACCACGACCATGATTATAACAACCACGACCATGATTATAACAACCAGGACCATAATTATAACTACCACGACCATGATTATAACAACCACGACCATGATTATAACAACTACGACCATGATTAAAACAACCACGACCATGATTAAAACAACCACAACCATGATTATAATAACCACGACCATGATTATAACAACCACGACTATGATTATATCACCCACGACCATGATTATAACAACCACGACCATGATTGTAACAACCACGACCAACTGGAAAACGATGTCGCTGTACGCTGTCAGCTGGACGGTGGTTGCGCGCTCGCCAGGCACGAGCGTTCGAACTTTCACGCCTCGGTAAACTGTACCACCGGACTCGCCACCGGGCACGAAGGGCCCACGATCACTTGTCGAGGCTGTAAAGCATTTAATCCCAGTGTAGGATGTTGATGTTATAATGTATCACTATGGTTTAATGTGTGTGTTCTATGTTGGGAAATACTACACTGAACCTATAACCTCCCTGACGTGGCTAACACATAGTATCTCCATAGTGGTTGACTCGTGGGGTAAGACATCTTCAGGCATATTCTACGGCAACTCGTACTATCCGGGAGTGATTGACCAGTGTTTAAATGTCAAGTCACCCGACAACGCCATCCACGGCAAATACTGCGTCATCAACATCAGGTAAGCCAAGTGGATGTTTTTCTTACAAGCGTGAGAGGAATTTAAGTAGGATACAAACCTGGCAATTAATCGGTGGTCAACCAGGGTGTGAAGTTAACGCTGACCCCAGAACACGTTCACATGGATAAATAAATTAAATACGAACATGATAGTATATACCATGATGTTGGAGTTTCTAAACAGGCCACTGGTCATTTGAACCAGCTGTTCAACCAATGGGCTTTGACCAGAGAGCTTGACAGACGCCCACCGTGCCTCGAGGCTCTCCTTCGCTCAACAGTATGTCTATATTGAGTCGTGTTCACCCAACAACCATGGCCGTATCCATGTGTGGCGCCGAAACAACACAAGGTAGCATACCTATAATGTTATGTTTACAACCTGTAATGTGGTTAATTTTAGTATACTGTGTATCATATTACTCTATGGAATCCCGTATATCTTGCAGTAATTAACAGATCATAATTTGATATTTAAGGGAAGAATATAACAAAGTGGTAAGGTCTACATTATTTTACGAAGATATGATCGACACAACATCTATGAACGGAGTGGCCGAGTGAGGGTGAATGTGTGGGGGTGGGAGACTCTCCCAGCGTCGGGGATGTCACAGAGATTCAGGGACAGTTTAGTGCCGAAAGATGTCTTGACATCCTTAATTATTTTTTCCTCCCCTCTCTCCGTGAGAGGAATTTTCCCTCCCCTCCCGGCCCCATAAATTTGTCCAGGATCGCTGCCCTGTCCACACAGCTTGGCTGGTTCAGCAGTGATTCCTCACACAGGAGAACCTTCACCTGTTGGACTGGCCTAGCAAAGAAGCAGATCTGAACCCTGTCGAATATCTTTGGGGGTCAATTGTGAACACCTGGGAGCCGGCGAAGCAGAGGTCAGTGGATGAGTTATTGGCCCACACGGACCTTGTTCAGAACCACGCCGTGATAGAAAAGGAGAGAGGCTGGACAGGCTACTAAATAAAGGAGAGAAAATAAATGTTCTTAAATATCCTCTGCCAAATGGGTGGTGGTAGGAAATAACGATGGAAAAATGTTAAGTCTGAACTATGGTCCTTCTACTCCAGATATCTAATATACTACAGGAATGGCCGTGTGTCTGTCTGTCTGTGTGTCTGTTCTGGGCAGCCGAAACGGCACAATCGTTTTTCATCAAACTTGGTGGAAAAATCGCAAAAAATTCATAAAGTGGAACAAACATGGTCCCACGTCGATGGTTTCTTTAGGAAGGCATTAAATAACCATTTTATTTACAATGGAAAACGATATCGCTGTACGCTGTCGGCCGGATGGCGGTTGCACGCTAGCCAAGCGCGAGCGTTCGAACTTTCACGCCTCGGTAAACTGTACAACCGGACTCGCCACCGGGCACGATGGGCCCACGATCACTTGTAATTAACAATACACAATACACTTTGGGACATCACTTTGAAATGGAAAAACAAAACAAACGTAAGTAATGTAATAGAATAGTATTGTATGAAAATAATTATAAAATATTTTATTTTGTTATGCAAAGTTTAGTTAATTAAGGAGTCGTTCATTTGGTGTCAAAATATAGAGAAATTGGATTGGATCAAGTTAATGCCACTTGCTTACACTCGCGTTCCGTTGTTGTTGTGAAACACCCAGAGGAGTGGTGAGGGATGTCTGATATAAGTGTTTATAGGGGGAAATGACATAATGTTGTTGTTATTAAAGGAAACCTATGAAGACGTTTGGGTTAATTTATTAGCCTTAATAGATTGTAGAAGATAAAGGTTAAATCTGTCAATTCTATAATATGACCTTGGGCTGTGATGGTGGCAAACCATACCAATACCAACCTTACGGACACCACACTTAGCAACCATATTCGACTGTACTCAACCTAGTTGGGATAGGACCTTACTCTTCCGGTCTTGGCCTTCACGCACAGTGGCTCGCTGGCTAAATATAACTCAATAATGTTCTATGTTAACCTTTTATTAATGCATTTGCTTTCATTTCTACCCTGGAACTTATTCCTCAGTAATATTTACTTTTTCTTGTGTACCGAAAGTGGCTTCATTCATTCATTCCCGTAAATGCTGTTAATTCATAATTCATTAAAACCTTACAATAAAAATATTGAAACATTTTAAGTAGTTTGACCGCCAAAATAACGTCGTTTTCTAAAGTCACCCCTCCCCGCCCCCTGTCACATAAAAAAAATAAGACAATCTTGATTATCTGAAGTCCCTGAACTATCAACCCGTCCAGTTCTGCCCAGTAAGACCCTGCCATAATTTACGCTCTCACAATAATACTGAAATTAAACCATCGCGTCTTTGGCGAATTACTGAGTGAATACAAAATCTATCACGGACGGACTGGTGGATGGACGAGCGTACAGCATCATTGCAATACGTATATCCCCAAACTTTCGGTTCGGGTGGAAAAAAAAATTAACGCCGGTCAACAAGTAACGGCGCTCCCAATACCGTAAAACGAATGACTTCCCTATCTTCATAAAACTTAGAAACACGAGGAGGTGGTCTCTGATGACGAGCTGTGACGGTCAACACCTTAATCCTAATCGCCCCCGAGGCATAACGGTCTTCAGCATTACAGTTGGAGCCCATTAAAATTGGGATCCGTTGGAATTAGTACTTACTGGGATTGGGACCTGCTATTCCCACGCTCCAATCCAAATGGTTAGGTTAGGTTGCTACCAATCAGGGCTAGGACCTGTTTGACGAATCAACAGCTGAATGAGAGGACATTACGCTTCCAAAACACGAAGCCGATTAGCTAATAGTCTGTAAAGCAGGATAATGAAACCATGACAGCATGGTTAGGGTCATTATATCTCAGTGTAGCAAGAACTTTCCAGGAGAGATACGGATGCCTCTAAAACAGGCGAGTGTGATGACTGTACCCACTGAATGGAAAATTTTTATGGTTAACATATTTATTGACAAAGCTTGGAGTACAGTTTGCCTATTCTGAGTAATTCAGTCATGTATTGACACTGAGGGTGGTATCACTTCTCACGGCCACGCAGAGGTGAGGCTCTGACGGGAAGAAGGTGGGAGGGGGAGGACTCTGTTACCCTCATAGTCGGCGTGAGGGAAGGGGAGGGGGAGACTTTCAAATAGACAGCGACGGGACCACAGGCGACCACAAAGACGGTGTAAGGATAAGGAGTGGACCCGACGTCCGCGTGAACGAGTGGGTGCATCACGTTGACTCATTGATAAGGGAGAGACACCGATGTCTTCAAAGATGGAGGGAAAAAGCGTAACGTTCCTTTAAAACTTGTGGGACTCGAAAGACTCCAGACTCTGCTGATGAATAAAACGATAACCGATGACTATGATAGCTTGGACGTACCTGATATACGGTGTGTTAATGTCCATCGAGGAGCTGTATTATTTCACACTTACCTGGAAAAAGAAAAGGAAAAATCCAGGTGAGATTACCTGACGACCCCCCCCCCCTCACATACACGCCAAGTGATTATTCCCAATTAACTCACAGGAACAACTAAAACAGAACCAATGATCTTAAGCATTAGTTTATGCCAAATGGATGACTAAGATAACTTGTTCAATATGTCAAGAACACAACTGTAATATTATTAGTACAAGTAGTTACCTTTTGGTGGTGGGAACCCTGGTGCCGTACAGGATCACCCCATGGCACCGTCTTGACACTCTTATGACACCTCGTGGCCCTTGACAACACCTTGCTGTACTCTATGACACACTTTACACCTTGCGATAGTTCAAAACACTTACAACATCAATGCCACTTTACGACACTTTTCGACATTGTATGACACTATTGTGTGTTGCTTGGACACTTTTTAGCTATCCGAGACTATGACACTATGAAAGGATATGGCTTTTTACTGCACTTTAGAACACCGATACTTTAGGTCAATTCGTGACACTTTAGGACACTTTGACATTTTAGGATACTGATACTTTAGGACACTTTGACACTGTAGGACACTTTGACACTTTGACACTTTGACACACTGACACTTTAGGACACTTTAGGACACTGACACTTTAGGACACTGACACTTTAAGACACTGACACTTTAGGACACTTCATGATACTTGAGGACACTTTGACACTTTAGGACATTTTGACACTGTAGGAACTTTAACACTTTAGGACACTTTGACACTTTAGGACACTTTGACACTTTAGGACACTTCATGACACTTTAGGACACTTCATGACACATTAGGACACTTCATGACACACTTCTGACATTCATAGCACTGTTTTCAATGTGCACCACATCTTACGACATTATGCGACACTTATTGACTTAATGGCACTTTATCACACCTAATGGCACTTAAAAGTATTTTATCTTTTTTTTTATATTACGTGAATCTTTGTGACATACCTTGGCATTTTATGGCACTCTCACCTTGTGCCACTTCACGACACTATACCACTCTTATGACACGTGTAGGTATTTTTGGAACCCACAGTTACACTACTCTGTGACACTTACGAACCTTCTCGACACTTACAAACACTTTACAACACTGACACACACTTGACGATACTTTACAGTGCTCGTCAGTTTCAGACCTTTCACCAGCTATATGTTCGTCTATGAGCCTTCGTGTACCTCCTTACCGTCACGCGCCAGAGACAGCACTGTGAAGTCTTGTCTTGTTTGAGGCCTTTGTTGACATTCTCATTCTCATAAATCCGAAACCGCGAAACGAGGCAGATTCAAGACCTCGTCCCAGTACTATGAGAGTGTGGTTCGTCGTGTTTTATTCATTCGTTTCTCCACACATGTAACTTTAAAGATCTTTGTCTTTATCTGTTCAAATTATAAAGTACAAGGCAATGTATTACACAAGATTGTATGTCAATTTTTAGTTCGTATGCTGGCTCGTTTTGGGATGATTGAGTCTGGTGTATCGAAAACCTGTTCCCGAACCCTGGAAACACTTACGTCATCGATGTCTCAATGTGGTGTCAGTCAACTGGTGAGAAAAAGTATCCAGACTTGCTTAATTGGTTTATCCCGCTTTGTTTGCTTATTAAAAACAAACAAACAAACGGGAACAAAAGGAAAGACGATGAATATGTATTAAAACATAACAAATAACGGTAGAACACATTTTAAATTATTTTCTAATTCCGAAAGTGAAGGCTCCCGGAGACGTGTGTGTTGTGTCAGGACGAACAGCCCACACCACGACTAAACCAAAGCTACTAACACATCTGTCTGGTATAGTGTGTGGTTTAATATTTTAACAGACTCCAGACAAACCAAAGAAAGTCAATCACCTTAAACTTAATTCATGAAAGGCGTTTCTTGGTTTCCCTGTGTAATTAACCAAACTATTAACTACTGCAAGGCAGTTTGTAGCAGTAGTTTACCTTGTGATTGTCAGTAGTAGCAAATATTATGGGGCCGAGAGGGAAGTGAAAATTCCTCTCACGGAGAGAGGGGAGGAAAAAATAATTAAGGATGTCAAGACATCTTTCGGCACTAAACTGTCCCTGAATCTCTGACATCCCCGACGCCGGGAGAGTCTCCCACCCCCACACATTCACCCTCACTCGGCCACTCCGTTCATAGATATTGTGTCGATCATATCTCCGTAAAATAATGTAGACCTTACCACTTTGTTATATTCTTCCCTTAAATATCAAATTATGATCTGTTAATTACTGCAAGATATACGGGATTCCATAGAGTAATATGATACACAGTATACTAAAATTAACCACATTACAGGTTGTAAACATAACATTATAGGTATGCTACCTTGTGTTGTTTCGGCGCCACACATGGATACGGCCATGGTTGTTGGGTGAACACGACTCAATATAGACATACTATTGAGCGAAGGAGAGCCTCGAGGCACGGTGGGCGTCTGTCAAGCTCTCCGGTCAAAGCCCATTGGTGGAACAGCTGGTTCAAATGACCAGTGGCCTGTTTAGAAACTGCAACATCATAGTATATACTATCATGTTCGTATTTAATTTATTTATCCATGCGAACGTGTTCGGGGGTCAGCGTTAACTTCACACCCTGGTTGACCACCGATTAATTGCCTGGTTTGTGTGTTTCTGGAGGTGTTGGAGGCATGCACCCAGTGAAGTCTCCCTGCATCACCCTGCATCTTCCTATATCTCCCTATATCACCGTACATCACCCTTTATCTCCCTGTGGTATAATATGACATCGTTCTCACCACCAGGAAGGCCAGCCACAAGAAGACGGTTCACCACATCAACCTGCCTGTCACCCTTGAACACCTGGGCCTCACACCTTTCATTATCAACGATAAAGTGACCAATGGCACGTTCTTCCGCTATGCTACCTGTATACCTGATGTTTGTTCAACGGAGGAGTTGTGGGTAAGGCTTGTAAGCTTGTTAAGTTCTTGGTTGATTCTTGTAAAGCTTGTTTTGACTCGTGGATGCAGTGGTGGAGTGGTTAGTGGTGTTTATTGGTCGTTTAGTCTCCAGTTCGAAACCCCCTTTAAGGATGCTGTGTCTAATGGATGATAGGGTGTGATAGTATACTGGTTTGTTTAATACACCGTTACAGCTTGTCTCCTCCTCCTTCTCTCCTACTTCTCCCTCACTCCTTATCCCTGACTCCTCCTTATCTTCGACTCCTCTTTCTCCCCCGCCAGGCCAGCTTGGTGCAGGAGTACTGGGAAAAAGACTACAATTTGCTCTATACCTTCTGCCAACCAGATGAAATGTTTACCGCCTTCACTGCTGGGGATATCGCCTTCATGTACGTAACCTGAGTCTTTCGTTTTGTATTTTGTTATTGTACTCTTGCTTTCCCCCTTCTTCCCTCCTCCTTCCCCCTTCTCTGTCACCTCGCAACATAGATGATATGTATATATATATATATATATATATATATATATATATATATATATATATATATATATATATATATATATATATATATATATATATATATATATATATATATATAAGTCGATGATCCATATTACTTTTGCTGCTAAGGACTCTCTCTCTCTCTCTCTCTCTCTCTCTCTCTCTCTCTCTCTCTCATCCGGCCAATCATTGTCTCCTTTGATCTAGGACTTAAAACAAAGTACCATTTCAAGTAAAACCACTCCACCGCCCTCTGCCTCCTCCTCTCCCCTCCCCCTGCTCCTCCTCTTCCCCTTCCCTCTTCCCCCCTCCTCCTCTTTCCCCTCCTTACTCCTCTTTCCTCTCCCTCTCCCTTCTCCTTCTCTCCCCCCCTCCCTCCTCCTCCTACTACTACTAACCCCACACCTTCACCTCCTCCATAGCGCTGTGGTCAGCATTCTCTTCTCACTGATGCTGGCGGCTGGCATCGTCGACGTCTACATACAGAACACCAACAACAAAACCTTGGCGAAAGGTCAGTCGGGTCTGCCAAAACCTTCCTCTATGTATGATACATTTCTGACAACATCTATGTACGTATGATTGAGCTTGATATCAGAGAAGATCAATTATGTTTAGGCAATATTTAAACCTACATTCTATATGATAACTAAAGATGATTATTATTGTTATTTTAATTATAATCAGGGTGATAACAAGACCCACATTATGTAAAGAATGCAAAGGTCATGACTTGAGGTTATTGTGTAGTTATTATTGTAAACTGAACCTGTATCATTAAAGAAACATTAATATTATTATTATATCTCCAACAGGTGGGCTCAAGTACTTGTTGCCCTTCTCAGTTTACACCAACACCCAGAAACTGTTTGAGCTGAACACCAAGTCTTCTCCCGGCACCATATCGTGTTTACATGGCATTAAGTAAGTACTTTATCCCTCACTGTCACAGAGTACTCTCCCTACAGTGTAACTATAACTGTATCCTAACGTAGTACTCTTCCTACAGTGTAACTACCCTCTCTCCTCCTTCCTTCCCTCCCTACTACCCCCCTTCCTTCCCTCCCTACTACCCTCCCTCTTTCCTTCCCTTCCTACAAGCCAATAAGGTCGAGTATCTCCGCCAGGGTGTTGTCCATGACTTGGGTAATCTTCGGTCACCAACAGTCTGCTTCCTTACAACTGAACGCTAACACCCAGGACATGTGGAAGGTGAGTGACGTGTTGTGGTGACGTGTTGTGGTGACGTGTTGTGATGACGTTGTTGTGAAGTATTGTAGTGACGTGTTGTGGTGAAGTGTTGTGGTGAAGTGTTGTGGTGAAGTGTTGTGGTGACATGTTGTGGTGACGTGTTGTGATGACGTGTTGTGATGACGTCGTGTGGTGACGTGTTGTGATGACGTTGTGGTCAAGTGTTGTGGTGAAGTGTTGTGGTGACGTGTTGTGGTGAAGTGTTGTGGTGACATGTTGAAGTGTTGTGGTGAAGTGTTGTGATGACGTGTTGTGGTGAAGTATTGTGATGACGTGGTGAAGTGTTATGGTGACGTGTTGTGGTGAAGTGTTGTGGTGACGTGTTGTTGTGACGTGTTGTGGTGACGTGTTGTGATGACGTGTTGTGGTGAAATATTGTGATGACGTGGTGAAGTGTTGTGGTGACATGTTGAAGTGTTGTGATGGTGTTGTGGTGAAGTGTTGTGGTGAAGTGTTATGGTGAAGTGTTGTGGTGACGTTGTGGTGACGTGTTATGGTGAAGGTGTGTTGTGGTGACGTGTTGTGGTGAAGGTGTGTTGTGGTGACGTGTTGTGGTGGAAGTGTTGTGGTGAGGGTGTTGTGGTGAAGGTGTGTTGTGGTGATGTTGTGATGAAGGTGTGTTGTGGTGAAGTGTGTTGTGGTGAAGGTGTGTTGTGGTGACGTGTGTTGTGGTGACGTGTTGTGGTGAAGGTGTGTTGTGGTGAAGGTGTGTTGTAGTGAAGGTGTGTTGTGGTGAAGTGTTGTGGTGAAGGTGTGTGGTGAAGGTGTGTTGTGGTGACGTGTTGTGGTGAAAATGTTGTGGTGAAGGTGTGTTGTGGTGAAGGTGTGTGTTGTGGTGAAGGTGTGTTGTGGTGAAGGTGTGTTGTGGTGAAGGTGTGTTGTGGTGAAGGTCATATGTAGAGTATTTTTTTATCTTTTTATGATGTCTGTCTGTCTGTCTGTCTGCATGTATGTATGTCTGTATGTCTGTCTGTCTGTATGTATGTATGTATGTCTGTCTGTCTGTATGTATGTATGTATGTATCCGCCTGACCCACTTTCACTCCTTGAATCCATCTCTTTCCCCATAAAACACGACGACGAGAACTCACACACACACACACACACATACCTACACACACCCACACGCCCCACACCCCCCCACAAACCCATATACCCACACACCTCCACACCCACACACACCCACACACCCCCTTCAATGCCCCATCACACTCACTGTACAGGGTGTCTCAAAAAAAAAAACCACATTGTCTTATAAATTATCGTGGAAGTCTGGTGAAGGTCGTAGTATACCAGCTACAGTGTCCACATTAAGGAGACTTCACATTCATATAAGGACAATGTTGCTGTTTAATCCTGTTCAAGTATTCACGTGACCCCACGAAAATTTGTAAAGTAATGTGTATTTTTTTTTTGCTACACCCTGTATGAAGTATGACAACAAGTATGACGACAAGTATGATGACAAGTATGACGACAAGAAAGTATGAACAACTATTAAGAGGATGTATTGTGTTGTGTCAGAGAGTAAACAAGTTCCTGTATCAAGCGATCGCGAACGCCTACTTCAGCGTGGACACCTTCTTCATGGTGGGCGGCCTCCTCTTGTCCTGCAGCGCCTTCAGGCAACTCAAGAGGACTGGGAAGTTCAACGTCGCTCTGTTTTTTCTACACAGATTAGTCAGGTAGGATGTATGAACATTTTTTCTCACTAATTACAATATACAGGTTGAGGATGGACACCATTTTGTATCTTTTTTCGGCCTTCGGGAAAATAAAACAAGATCAGAGATTTTTTTTTATCACCATATGTTCTCGGTAAGACTTCAGGTAGGTGCTCGTTGTAGGTTTAGGTTTAGGTTAGGTTAGGGTTAGGGTTAGGTTAGGTTAGGTTAGGTTAGGTTAGGTTAGAGAGGTAACGCTCAAGTAACTCTCGCGTCCTCTCACAGATTAGTCCCAGCCATCGCCATCGTCGCCGGTCTCTACGCCACCGTCGTCCACTTCTTCATGTCTGGCTTCTTCGCTGACTTCTGGCACTACTGGGAGGCGACCTGTAGTCAAATCTGGTGGAGGGACATCTTATTCATAAACAACTTTGTGAACGAGCCTGCAGGACTAGGACTTGGAGGAGACGTAAGTAAGGAGGGTCCTATAGGTTAGGTTAGGTTAAGAACTTATTATATTATGGTCTCCTACCTTATATAACTTACTCATATACTTTATGGCTTCTACATACAAGAGGTGTGTCAATGTATTTACCTGTTTCAGTGTTTGGGTCAGTGTTGGTACCTGGCCGTCGACACACAGTTATACCTGGTGGCTCCCTTAATCTTCCTACCATTATATTACTACGCTCCTGTTGGTGAGTCCAGCCTTTATACAGTGAAACCTCTATTTAACGGACTATATGGCAAAGAAAGTCCGTTATATCAAAATCCCATTAAATGTGAAACCTCCATCTAATGAATTATATAGAGATGAGATTCCGATATATTAAGAGTCCGTTAGATGTGATGAAACTCTCCATCTAACGGATTATATGGAGAGATGTCCGTTATATATGATTCCACTGTACCTGTTGCCTATAAGAACATTCAATCAGAGAAAATGAAGTATCTCTTACACGCCAATGATCTACTAGACCCCAATAGGACAGAGGCAAAAATCAAGGCCCTAATCCAAACTGTACCACTCAAAGCAGAGAGCACAGAACGCCATCTTACAGTAAACAAATAACTTATGAATAGAAATTTAACCAATATAAACACTTAATAAACAGCTAGACGTATAATGCTGTGATGGTGTGTTGTATTTAGTTTAGTTAGTATGTATGATAGTATACAAGAGCCGTGTATTAATGCTGTATTTTCCATTGTATTATACTAGGTAAGGTCTGGATGTATGTGCTGTGTGTGTTGTCCATCTACATCCCTGCCCAGATTATCTACACCTATGACCTGCCTCCCTCTTCCTTCTTGGTAGCTCGGTAAGTCAGGGAGGGGAGAAGTGATAAATGGCAGTGAAGAAATAAGCAAAGCATTGAACAACTACTTCTTATCAGTTTTCACAGAAGAAATTCGCGAGGAAATTCCAGAGATGGAACTCATATTTAGGGGAAAGGAAGAAGAGAAATTAAAGAATATCACTATCAGAACAGAGGATGTTCTTAAGAGGATAAATAAACTAAAGAAGACAAAATCCCTCTAGTCTTGAAAGAGTGTAGGGAACAGATTAGCGGATCCCTTGTAAATTTATTTACAAAATTATTAGACACCGGAGTTGTGCCAGACTTGTGGAAACAGGCAAATGTAGTACCCATATTCAAAAAGGGCGACAGAGCATCAGCGTCAAATTACCGGCCGATCAGTTTGACGTCAGTAGTGGGGAAATTCCTTGAATCAATTATAGCAGATAGCATCCGATCGCATCTAGAAAAAAGCAAATTAATCTACGACTCTCAACATGGGTTTACAAAGGAAAAATCTTGTCTAACAAATCTGCTAACGTTTTTTAGGAAAGTCTTCGAGGTAGTAGATAATGACGAAAATTACGATGTTATTTATTGGAGCTTTGCTTAAAGCATTTGACAGGTATGGAAACTTCTAGAAAATTATAGCTCATGGTATCGAGAGGAAAAGATCGTTGGATGAAATCGCTCACCGATAGAGGCAGAGGTCAAGCGTAGATGTTAAATCTGGGTGGGGCAAATGTATTGATGGGGTTCCCCAGGGGTCAGTACTAGGCCCACTCTTGTTCATAATCTACATAAACGATTTAGATACTGGGATCAGCAGTGACATAAGCAAGTTTGCAGATGACACCAAAATGGGGCGGCAAATTAATTCAGGGCAGGATGCAAATGCATTACAGGAGGATCTAAATAAACTGCAGGGGTGGTCTGAAAAATGGCAAATGAAATTCAACACCAGCAAGTGCAGCATACTTATCATGGAGAACAAATACTGTCAATGTATACAGCCTTAACAACATCAACCGAGAGAAGTCGACTTGTGAAAGAGACCTAGGGGTACTTGTAAGCCCGGACCTACGGCCTAGAAAACAGTGCGTTAATGTTCGAAATAAGGCAAACAGAGTGTTGGGTTTTATATCTAAAAGTGTAAGTAATAAGAGTGCAGAGGTCTTATTGCAACTATATCTTGCGCTAGTCAGGCCGCACCTCGATTATGCGGTTCAGTTCTGGTACCCTTATTATAGAATGGATATCAATTCACTAGAGTCGGTGCAGCGTAGAATGACGAAAATGATTCCGGGACTTAGAAACCTTCCATATCAGGATAGGTGAGCTGCTTTTTGTTCCTAGAAGACAAAGAGTGCAGGAATGTGATGGAAATGTTACGTGGGTGAATCAATAAAGGTGTAGATAAAGTTCTTATAATATCCAGGCAGGATGGGACTCAGTACAGCTTGGATTTAAGTTGAATGAAAGATTTAGGTTTGAGAGAGACCAGGAAGAAACTGGTTCTGGAAGCTAGGAATTGGTGGACGTGGAACGACTTCAACTGTAGTAAGTGCTGGAACTCTGAAGATTCAAAAGGAAACTTGATAGATTCTGGATGATAAGTGAATTTGTAACTCTGTGGGGCTGCCATGCACGGTAGCGACCCTGTGAACTTATTATTTCTTATGTTCTTATTTCTTATTGAATATCAAACATTTTAGGTTGATTAGGATTTAAATTCGTTGGGTTGGGGTTGGGTTAGGTTGGGTTGGGCTGGGTTGGGTTGGGTTGGTTTGGTTAGGCTAGATTAGGCTTGATCGGTTATATTAGGTTAGATTATATTATGTTAATTTAGGTTAGGTTAGATTACCATTAAGCTAGAATACCTTAGGTTAGATTAATTAGATTACCATTATTTAGATCACATTAAATTAACATTGAATGAAATAAATTTGGTCTTAACTACTCAAGTGATCTAACTTGATTACCTTTTAACTAATCATTTCATTAATCTCTACTTCTCACACTCCAGTAACGCAGATGTGTACTACAACAAGGTCTACTTAACGCCGTGGTGTCGTGCAGGGCCGTGGCTCGTCGGAATCTGGCTGGGCTACATCATGTATACTCAAGATCACAAGCGAGTCGTCCTGAAGAAGGTGAGAGAGATGTTCCCCATGTCTTTTGTGTGTGTGTGTGTGTGTGTGTGTGTGCTTTAATCCCTTGCTTCTAATATTATTACATACACCAAGATTTCTTCACCACCAAACCTAACTTAACCTGTCAACTAATCTTCCTTGTTGTTTCCAGTGGCAGGTAGTGGGTGGGTGGACGGCAGCTGTGTGTACCGGAGTGTTGCTTGTGTTTGGGGTGTGGAGCTACAACACCGTGCCACCCAAAGCTGACTATGACATCGTGACCCAGGTGGTGTACGGTGGGCTGCAGCGGTTTATGTGGGGTGTAGTGATGGCCTGGATTATCTACGCCTGTCATTACGGAGCTGGTGGTGAGGAGTCTTTTACCACACTTATAACCATAGTTATTCTTATACCACACTATGGCCAATTAGGTGACAATATTACACTGAGACTCTACCTTAACTCTCCCTTAACTAGATACGTTCACTGAATACCAGAATCTCTAGAAAGACTCAGTTTTTGGATCTATGTGTGTGTGTGTGTGTGGCTGACAATAGTATCTCGGGTCCTACAAATCAGTTCCAAAATGTGTGAGAAAATTTGCCCCCCAAATTGTTTCTTTTCGTTCATTTCTTCTTTATTTTACTTCCTTCCTTCTTAAGTCTTATGTATTCCTATGTCACTAAAGGATATAAAAATAGATAAACTTGAATTGAGTTACATCAATAAATTCAAGGATGAGGATGCCTATTAAACTTGATCTGACCTGTCCTTACCTGACCTGACCTGATCTGACCCATCCTGCCCTGTCCTTTCCTAATCTATTAAAATTGGTACCCAGTTGTAATAGATCTCTAGTCCTAAAGATCATGGCAGCATAAATTGGAACCTATTAAAACTGGGAACTATTAGGATTGAGGACCTAATAGGTCTAAAAAGGACCCACGTAGCCTAACATGAACTAACCCAACCCTCCCTGAACTGACCATTTTTCGAATGGTCTGAAAAATGGCATATGAGGAATTCAGCAAATGATATAAATGCTCAGTATAAGATGTAAACAGAAACAGCGATACATAGAGAAATCCGACTGCGAGAAATATTTAGAGTAATGATAAGTAGGAACCTACAAGTAAATAATGTTTTAGTCGTAACAAGGCTAATAAATTTGGTTCATGGAGTGATGTTACAAGACTAGCGAGGTCATCCTAAAACTGTATCTTGCTTGGAGACCACACCTGGATTACGCAGTTCAGTTCTGGTCACTGTATTAGAATGGATATAGAATCCTTGAAAGAATTCAGAGGAGAATGACAAGACTAATCCCGGGCATTAGGAACCTTGAGTATAGAGAGACAGGTTAAAGCATCTTAATTTGCACCCTGAGACGAGAGGGCGACCTGATAGAGGTGTATGTGGAAGACAGGGCTAAGCAAAGGGAGACATAAAGGTACTCAAACTATCCAACCAGGAGCGAACTCGTAACAATGGTTTTAAATTAGACAAATTTAGATTTAGGAGCGAAACAGGTAAACATTGGTTTGGAAACAGAGTAGTGGATGAATGGAACAAGTTACCAATTATCATCATTAACTCGAATACGCTGAATAGCTTCAAACAAAGGTTGGATGCTTATATGAGCAATAGGGGTTTGGTGTAAAAGGACTGCCCAATACGGGCCAATAGGCCAGCTGCAGTTTCCTCCATTCTTGTGTTCTTGTGACCTGACCTCAATATTGTCTTCACTACAGGCCTCGTGAATGACTTCTCGCCACCCCATCTGGCAGCCACTTAGCCGTCTGACCTACACCATGTACCTAGTGACTCTAACAATGCAATTCGCAATCGTGTATCAGGCGAGGGTACCCTACTACTACTCTTACATCAGCCTGGTACTTTATGAAGTGTTGTTGATTATTATGGTTAGGGTAGGGTTAGGTTAGGTTAGAAGCAGTAGGTTAAGTTAGGTTAGAGTATGTTAAATTAGGTAAGTTGTGTTAGATTAGGTTAAATAAGTAGGTAAGTTGTGCTAGATTAGGTTAAATTAAGGTAGGTAAGTTGTTTGTTAGATTAGTTTAAGTTAAGGTAGGGTAAGTTGTGTTAGATTAGTTTAAGGTAGGGTGTTGTGTTGATTAGGTTAAATTGAGGTAGGAAATTGTGTTAGATTAGGTTAAGTTAAGGTAGGGTGTTGTGTTAGATTAGGTTAAATTAAGGTAGGGAAGTTGTAAATAAGTTTAAGCAAGGTAGGTAAGCTGTGTTAGATTAGTTAAGTTAAGGTAGGGAATTGTGTTAGATTAGGTTAAATTAAGGTAGGGTAAGGTGTTAGATTAGGTTACTAAGGTAGGGTAAGCTGTGTTAGATTAGGTTGCTGTAGTAAGTTGTGTTAGATTAGGTTGCTAGGTTGGAACAATAATGGTATATATTATAATGAACAAATTTACCATCATGAATAAACTCATAAGGTAAAACTTAACCAGGTATTATATAAGCGTCACCAGGTACCACACAACCCTCACAAAGTACCACCTGCTTAGATTATGGAGACGTGGTGTAATGTGATCTCCTTCTTCGTGGCTGTGTTGGCCTCTGTTGAATTGGCTTGGAGAGGATCCTGCTGGGACGTCCTGGTAAGTTCTGGTGATTGGGTGAACGGTGATTCATGTATTATCTAGCAATTTTTTGGACAATCATAATAAATACTTATATTACACAGTTAACACAAACACTCTCTACCAGAGGACAGCTGACCTCCTCGACCCCAGAGAATGGCGCTGCACTCTCCTGTAGGACGCGACAACTCCGCCACTTCCGAAATGAAAGAGATGACCCCAGAAAACAAAGATACTGGATCAATCGGTAATTTATATAACCAAGCTGTGATTTTGATATCTGACTATGATAACAAGACCAAATTGAACTGATTACCGACCCATGGCTGATAACAAGATCAAATTAGATAACAAATTGGGGCTTATAACTGATAACAAGACCAAAGGCTGATAACAAGATCAAATTGGGGCTGATAAATAACTGATAACAAGACCAAATTGGAATTGATATTGAACTTATGACTGATATCTGACCAAATTTTCATTCTGTTGTCCGATTTTGTTTGATAACAGGCGAATTGATATCTGCCTATATGAATGGTTAATTCCAATAAGTAACCAAGTTGGTACATATTATATTGGGCTTTAGTAACAAAACCCAACTGAAGTTTCTTCTTATTAAAAGTATTATTTGTATAATTCCTGAGTGTAGATCAACCGTAGGTTTCACTATTTATGAGTGTGATGAGAAAGGACGGCGACTATGTAAATACACGTGAATCAACGTCCGTTCGATGTAAGTTTGAGTGAGACTGACTAAGGGCGTCACATGGAGCTACATAATTGCTGACATGCAGTCAAATGGGCTTCTCCTCTAGGAAGCTACCGTTCACGTGATATGTTCATGACATCTCATAGTTAGTGGAAAATTATAGGGATGAATCTGAATGTAAATCAATAAATTACATATTGCGATATCCATCTTATATGTGATAACTAAATGTACTGATATTAACGTCAAGATAACACCACTACATGTATAGGTTATCCAAGGTCTCAGGGACGATAATATTATAAACATATGTAAATTCACTACTGTAAACAGAATACAATAAACAACTGATGGCTTTGTGTGCTATTGGGTAGAGTGACTTAGAGTTTACCTTTTTTATATACCTGCATGATCTATATATATTGAACACCTGTCAATGTTAACTTGTATCCATGATCATGAAGAGTAAACATCTGGCAATATGTAACCAATGCTTCAGGTAACAGCTACAAGGTGTTATGAGAGGAGATGGTCACCTGCTTACTTACATAAATATAACTATTAAGTCATACAGTTTTAATCATCACATTTTTAGGTTACGATAAAAGTCAACTAATTAACAAAACAATGACTTTGTATATCTGATTAATTTAGGATTTTTATTAAGATTAGATATTTTACCTTCTTTCACTTAATGATTAAACTCATGATAATCATTTAACCTAACCCAACTTTCTGTGTATCATAAGGGATTACTGGAAATATGCTAGAAGAGTTGATCTTGTGGTTCTGGCTTCGAATCCGTCATTAGCAAAGCACTGAATCAGGAGTCGAGCTTCGAGTTTTATCGTGTCTTATGGAACCATTAGTATCACTTTGTATACAGTTTTATGTGATAATAAATGTTGAGGATATTGAGGCGATAATGATGTCTGATACTGACAGGTTAGGGTAGAGTATGTTAAATGGATATGGTAAATTGTGGAAGATTAGTTAGGTTAGTAGGGTTACATTAGGTTAAGTTAGAGTAGGGTTACATTAGGTGGTGGTGAAGTACATTAGGTTAAGTAGTAGGGTTACATTAGGTTAAGTTAGGGTAGGGTTACATTAGGTTAAGTAGGAGTAGGGTTACATTAGGTTGGGTTAGGTAGGGGTTACATTAGTTAAGCAGAGTAGGGTTACATTAGGTTGGTTAGGAAGGGCACACAGGTTGCTAGGGTAGGGTACATTAGGTTGGCTAGGGGTTACATTGGGTTGCTAGGGTAGGGTTACATTAGGTTAAGTTAGGGTAGGGTTACATTAGGTTAAGTTAGGGTAGGGTTACATTAGGTTAAGTTAGGTAGGGTTACATTAGGTTAAGTTAGAGTAGGGTTACATTAGGTTAAGATATAGGTTACATTAGGTAGAGAGTACACAAGGTTGGGTTAGGGTAGGTTACATAAGGTTGGGTTAGAGTAGGTTACTAGGTTGTTAGGGGTAGGGTTACATTAGGTTAAGCAGGAGTAGGGGTTACATTAGGTTGCTAGGGAAGGGTTACTAGGTTGCTAGGTAGGGTTGCATTAGGTTGGTTAGGTAGGTTACATTAGGTTGGGTTAGGTAGGTTACATTAGGTTGGTTAGGTAGGGTTACATTGGTTGGGTTACAGAGAGGGTTACATTAGGTTGTTTGGGTAGGGGTTACATTAGGGGTTAAGGTAGGGTACATTAGGTTGCTAGGGTAGGGTTGCATTAGGTTAAGCAGAGTAGGTTACATAGGTTGGTTAGAAGGAAGCATTAGGTTACAGAGTAGGGTTACATTAGGTTAGGTAGGGGTTACATAGGTTGCTAGGTAGGTTACATTAGGTTAAGCAGGTAGGTTACATAGGTTGGGTTAGGTAGGGTTACATTAGGTTAAGCTTGGAGTAGGGTTACATAGGGTTAAGTAGAGTACGGTTACATTAGGTTAAGTAGAGTAGGTTACATTAGGTTGGGTTAGAGTGGGGTTACATTAGGTTAGGTTAGGAAGGGTTACATTAGGTTACAGAGTAGGGTTACATTAGGTTACAGAGAGGGGTTACATTAGGTTAAGTTAGGGTAGGGTTTACTAGGTTGGGTTAGGTAGGGTTACATGGTTACAGAGTAGGTTACATTAGGTTAAGAGTAGGTTAAAGGCTAGGTAAGCTACAAAAGGTTAAGTAGAGTAGGGTTACATTAGTTAAGTAGAGTAGGGGTTACATTAGGTTAGTAGGGGTAGGGTTACATTAGGTTAAGTTAGGGTAGGGTTACATTAGGTTAAGTTAGGGTAGGGTTACATAGGGTTAAGTAGGGTAGGGTACATTAGGGTTAGGTAGGGTTACATTAGGTTAAGCAGGAGTAGGTTGGCATTGTAAGGTTGCTGGGTAGGGGTACATTAGGGTTAAGTTAGAGTAGGGTTACATTGGTTGTTAGGAGTAGGGTTACATTAGGTTAAATTAGGGTAGGGTTACATTAGGTTAGTTAGGTAGGGGTTACATTAGGTTAAGTTAGGTAGGGTTACATTAGGTTAAGTTAGGCAGGGTTCCATTAGGTTGTTAGGGTAGGGTTACATTAGGTTAACTTAGGATTGGATATAAAGATTTGGATGGTTTGGAGAAAACTTATTTTGCCTCAAGTTGACTATTGTAACTTTTGGAGTCTACCTGCCTAATTATCTACTGAAGAAAGTTCAAACAGTGTTGAACAGGGTTGCCAGACTTATTTTGCTCTCCCACTGAGGACTCCCACTACCCTGTTCTTGATCGAATTACATTGGCTTCAATAAAAGCTGATAAAGTTCAAACTCTGTAATGACTTAAGAGACACTAATGTTTGGTGAGCCTAAGTATTGGGCCAACCTGCTAACCAGTCAGGAGCGAGGGCACCCACGGTGTCTGAATGATATGAATATTATATACTATAATTTAATCCCACTTACTGAGAATCAAAGAAAAATGCAAATTAAAAACAATTTTAATATTTAATTATAAGATGAAGCATAATTATATCTCCGAATACGGGGCGGATCCAGGAATATCAAAAGGAGAGGTCCAAGAAATTGTGGGTGGGGGGAACATGGCAAGCACAGTGAGCCCACCCATCTGGGGAGGGAAGGGGTGGGCTGTAGGCCCCAGAATTTGTTTTAAATCTGACCAATATCATGGTCATTTTGGAGGCCACTTTGAAGCCATATGCACTTGATATTAGGAGATATTCCTAAGTCAATAGTAATTACTTACTATACAAAAATGCCTGAGTACATTACAAGTACTGCATTAAAGAAAAATATTGGAATTTTATGATGAAAAGGGGGGGGTCCGGACCCCAGGACCCTGAATCCACCCTTGTTCAAGATAAATAAAAACAAAAGTATTTTCGACGAAACGTATTTTCAATAGTTACCCATGTAATACCAAAACATTCTTTATGAGAATTGCACCCTTCACAGATGGCGCGTCGGCCAAGCCACAAAGAGAATAAGTTTTAAGGGAGTTCAATATCCTTCTTCTGTATATTCCGTGGTTAAAGGCATAAATCACGTCAGCACGATGATGTATGGAGCCATGGTAACATTCATGATTTTTTTTACGGGGATTAGCCCACGGGCTTAGTTAGAATATTATTAAGAATATGATGGCAAGTGTTGAAGGTGACTGCCAGTAACTCAAAGATGAGTATTTTACATAAATGTGGGTGAAATATTACGTTGTGTGTACAGTAAACAGCAGGGACCCTGGAGTCGGTAGTTAAATCAAAGCGTTAAACAGCAATGACCTTAGTTGTTGAAGAGCAGTTGTAATAAAAGTGTATTTTCCTTATTTCTTATTTAAATTTATTAACTTACTTTTACTCTTTCTCCATTCCCAGGAAGGGAATTAAAAACTATTCTTAACGGATCTTCGTTTATTAATATATATTACCCAGAATGAACAGCTACACCATCAAAACAACCTGTTCTCCAGTTAGTTAAACAGAGTTACACGAATCACAATACATCTTGTGAAATGGATAAAACCTTAAGTTCACCTACTTAATATATATATATATATATATACAATCAACACCTAACCCCAAGTTCAGACCTGACCCCACGACTGTGACCGAGGAACGCCGCTGGACCACCAGGATACAAAAGCAATCTTAGACTGTTATATTTCATAAAAAAAAAAAAAAAAAAAAAGATTTATATATATATATATATATATATATATATATATATATATATATATATATATATATATATATATATATATATATAGGTAAATCACTGTAGGTGCCCGTGATCTGGTATATGCTGATAACCACAAGAAGAAGAAAACACGAAGTTCCCAAGCTCTTTCGTGTAATTCACTCTTCAGAGTTATACAGACTAGAGAAATACGAATCAAGGTGTATATATACAGAGGAGGTGAAACCTAATACCTGACCATTGTGGACCTGGTTTCACCTCTGTGTATATATATATATATATATATATATATATATATATATATATATATATATATATATATATATATATATTTCATGTAAATCCACAATAAACGTGATAAGATAAATCTATAAATCCGGAAAATAACAGAAACCTGCTCCTCTAAGTTCTAATAACACTAACCTACCCATATATATATATATATATATATATATATATGTATTATGTATATATATATATAAACCCTAACCCTAACCTAACCTAACTACTAACCTAACCCCTAACCCTTGTGTGGAATGATTTGGAGCTTGGATTTATGCTTCTGTGTTAGGGCAGAAGAGTACCACAATGAGCAGGAATAGTCCAAGTGACATTGTGCAGGCTAAGCAGAGGAACCCTACGGGCTGTGGGGCAGACGGCTGTGGGGAGCAGACGGCTGTGAGCAGATGGCTGTGGGGAGCAGATGGCTGTGGGGGAGCAGATGGCTGTGGGGGAGCAGATGGCTGTGGGGAACAGATGGCTGTGGGGAGTAGATAACTGTGGGGTAGCAGATGGCTGTGGGGGAGCAGATGGCTTGGGGGGGAGCAGATGGCTGTGGGGGAGCAGATGGCTGTGGGGGAGCAGATGGCTGTGGGGGAGCAGATGGCTGTGGGGAAGTAGATAACTGTGGGGGAGCAGATGGCTGTGGGGAAGTAGATGCTGTGGGGAGCAGATGGCTGTGGAGTAGATGGCTGTGGGGAAGTAGATGACTGTGGGGGAGGCAGACGACTGTGGGAGGAGATGGCTGTGGGGGAGCAGATGGCTGTGGGGAGCAGATGGCTGTGGGGAAGTAGATAACTGTGGGGGGCAGATGGCTGTGGGGAAGTAGATGTGGGCTGTGGGGAAGTAGTGGCTGTGGGGGGGGGCAGACGACCGTGGGGAGGCAGATAGCTGTGGGGAACAGATGGCTGTGGGGGAGCAGATGGCTGTGGGGAAGCAGATGGCTGTGGGAGAAGTTGCTAAGTTTTCCATTACCTTTCCTACTCATTTAGCCGTTTTCTCAGTCGTTCGGGATCAACTGGGCTCCACACATCAGTCGTACGCCTAACTGATGTGTGCGACTAGTGAGAGACCTCGGACACCCATTCATGTGTGTTAGCTCTGGACGAGAAATCGGCTGGATGTCTCGTGGTCTCAAACCCATCTTGTGAGTCTCCGGCCGTTGGTTCTCTGTTCCCCACATGCACATTCAGCTAAGGTTCTCTCTTCAAATTAGCTTCACCACTCTCTCCAGTAGCTTCAGCTAAAGACATTCTTATAAAACACAGGTTCAAGGCTACATTTAAGAACTAGACTCTAGAAAATATATGTACCAGGGCTTCACTAAAGGGTCGGTTTCTATAGAACATAGTATCATGGGCTTCAACTGCCACCCATCTTTTCAGCTCCCGGCGAAGCTTCCCAGTGGCGTTTTTCGGTAAAGCTTCAACGAAGAAGATCCGCCAGCTGCTTATGGCGAGCGACTCGAGGCTTCAGGAAGCTGAAAGTGAAGCCTTATCTCAGAGAAAGAAGGTGAAGCTTACTTAAGTGAAAGGAAATTAAGCATTTAACTAATGAAGTAGATGAGGATATAGCTTACTTAAGTAAAGGAAGTGAAGTTTATAAAGAAACTGAAGCTTTAATAAAGTTACCTTACCCTACTTAAGAGTAAAGCCACTTACAAAAATTAAACTTACCTTGGAGATGGAGAAGCATATAAGAGAATATAATGCATACTTAAGGGATGTAAAGCTTAAGAGAATTGATGAGCTTATCCAAAAAAATTAAAAGCTTATTTAAGAAGCATATTTAAACAAACACGATAAAACTGTTTTAGGTAAACCACACTTCAGGGAGGGTCAATATTTTAGAGGTGGTTTAGTTTACTTCAGTGAGCTTATTAAGTGGTGAAGTAAAGCTCACTATAGATTGTTGCTGTGAATGGTTACTTCACTTTACAGATGAGCGAGGACGAGTGCAGTGTCGGACGTAGCCTCCCTGTGTACTGTATAACATGATCCCAAATGAGCAGTTATGCCTGGGATTGACTCACTTTCAACTATATCCTGACGTAGCGGCAGGTAAGATATCACCTCAATTTGGTGGGTTTACCTGTGTATATCCTCCTGGTGAATTGTCCTCAGTCACGATAAACGCCTAGGAGCTTCACCCATCCTCTCGGTACGCCCACTACGCCCATCCACCACGCCGGGATGTTGGCAGATGATTCTTCAAGTTCAGAGACCTGAGTAGCCAGATGTATTACTCAGGTGTGGGGTCCGGTGTGTGTGGGAGGGAGTTCAGGTGTGTGTGTGAGGGGTCAGGTGTGTGTGTGGGGTGGGTGTGTGTGTGTGGGGTCAGGTGTGTGTGTGTGGGGGGTCAGGTGTGTGTGAGGGGTCAGGTGTGTGTGGGGTCAGGTGTGTGTGGGGTCAGGTGTGTGTGTGTGTGGGGTCAGGTGTGTGTGTGTGGGGTCAGGTGTGTGTGTGTGGGGGGTCAGGTGTGTGTGTGTGTGGGGAGTCAGGTGTGTGTGTGGGGGTCAGGTGTGTGTGTGTGGGGGATCAGGTGTGTGTGTGGGGGTCAGGTGTGTGGGGGGTGGTGTGTGTGTGTGGGGTCAGGTGTGTGTGTGTGGGGGGTCAGGTGTGTGTGTGGGGTCAGGTGTGTGTGTGTGTGTGGAGGGTCAGGTGTGTGTGGGGGTCAGGTGTGTATGGGGTCAGGTGTGTGTGGAGGAGGATCAAGTCGTGGGTGTCAGGTGTTGGTGGGGTCAAGTGTGTGTGGGGGGTCAGGTGTGTGGGGGTCAGGAGTGTGTGGGGGGGATCAGGTGTGTATAATATTCCAAATGACTCCCTTTGTTTATAACACTAAAATTCTCTTAAACCCGACAAGACAAACACATGACCGTGTATGACCTTAATAACAAAACACTTGACCTTGATGGCCTTAATAACAAACACTTGACCTTGTATGGCCTTAATAACAAAACACTTGACCTGTATGACCTTGAGAACAAAACACTTGACCTTGTATGACCTTAGAACAAAACACTGACTTGTATGACCTTAATAACAAAACACTTGACCGTGTATGACCTTAGAACAAAACACTTGACGATGACCTTAATAACAAAACACTTGACCTTGTATGACCTTAAGAACAAAACACATGACCTTGTATGACCTTAATAACAAACACTTGACCGAGCCTTAGAACAAAACACTTGACTTGTATGACCTTAATAACAAAACACTTGACCTTGTATGACCTTAATAACAAAACACTTGACCTTGTATGACCTTAATAACAAAACACTTGACCTTGTATGACCTTAAAACAAAACACATGACCTTTATGACCTTAATAACAAAACACTTGACCTGTATGACCTTAAGAACAAAACCTTGACCTTGTATGACCTTAATAACAAAACACTTGACCTTGTATGTGTTAAGAACAAAACACTTGACCTTGTATGGCCTTAACAAACACTTGACCTTGTATGTCCTAATAACAAAACACTTGACCTTGTATGACCTTAATAACAAAACACTTGACCTTGTATGACCTTAAGAACAAAACACTTGACCTTTATGGCCTTAATAACAAAACCTTGACCTTGTTTTAAAAAAACACTTGACCTTATGACCTTAATAACAAAACACTTGACCGTGTATGACCTTAAGAACAAACACTTGACCTTGTATGACCTTAATAACAAAACACTTGACCTTGTATGACCTTAAGAACAAAACACTTGACCTTGTATGACCTTAAGAACAAACACTTGACCTTGTATGGCCTTAATAACAAAACCTGACGCGACTATAATAACAAAACACTTGACCTTGTATGACCTTAATAACAAACACTTGACCTGTATGGCCTTAATAACAAAACACTTGACCTTGTGACCTTAATAACAAAAGACTTGACCTTGTATGACCTTAGAACAAAACACTTGACCTTGACCTTAATATCAATGACATTAACAACAACAAAAAATATACAGGAACTTTTCGACCCTGAATGAGCCATAACTATCTCTTGACTATCATGACCTCAACTGCGACAACCCATCCATCGAAATGACCTTACCTGCAACCCTTGATTGATTAGCTCCTTGGTACGGTCAACAATCTTAAAAGCCTTCATCATCATAGCGACCCACGTCTCCTGAGTGAAGCCATCCTTCGAGTCGATGGTTTCCTGAGTGGCGGCTGGGTTGTTGTGATACTAACGTATCTGGGGAGGGTGAGGGTGGGGAGAGAAAGTGAGTCAGGGAGAGAGAGAGAGAGTGGAGTCAGGAGAGAATGGGTTGGGAGAGTGACAGTGGGATAGGGAGAGAGAGTGGGTCAGGGAGAGGGACAGTGGGATAGGAGAGATAGTGGGTCAGGAGAGAGAGAGTGGGAAAGGGAGAGAGAGAGGTGAAGGAGAGAGAGAGAGGGTGGGACAGGGAGAGAAAGTGGGTCAGGGAAAAAGAAAAATGGGGAGTGAAATAGAGGCGGGGAAGAAAAGAGAGTGTGTGGACAAGTGAAGGGGAGAGAGAATGGGTGAGTAAAGGGAGAAAGATGGGAGGAAGAGGGAAGGTGGCGTACCTGTAGTGTAGAGAGTGGACGACAGTATCCCTCATGTTAATGGTGTAACAGGCAGGGTTAACAGCAAAACACATCAGGTCTTAACTTGAAGGTAAACGAACTCACACGAAGTCCTTCAACACTGCCTAAATGATCTTAACTTACTCATCAAATTATTTGTGGCTTATATTTCTCAGTCTTATTCTTATCAGTTAATATTTATCATAATTACTGTAGCAATATTAAATTATTTTGTTGTTTTGGGAGTCTTGACGCAAATCTCTCCGTCCCGGTTGGCTGGTAATGCCTCTCCGTCTCCAGGTCCACCACCTTGGCGGTCACGTTCGGCAACAGTTTGCCTATCGTACCTATCTTGTCCACCTTTTGGCACTAGCGTGGTTAACAATATCTCCGTCATACCAACCTGTCCGTTGAAGAATAAAAGCTGCGTGAAGCTGTATTGATCATTATTATTTATATCCAGGAAGGCTGAGACGCTAAAACTTTTATACCAGTAATGACACAAACCGGCATTAACAAACTTTATCTGGCAACAATGGAAGAACGTTACTGAGTTCATTAGTTCTTCTCGTCTATGTCATAAATATTTTAGGAGATGTAAACAGATGAACAACTATGTTACAGAGAAATCCGACTGTGAGAAAGATTTAGGAATAATGATAAGTAGGACTCTTAAACCAAGTCAATAATGTGGATTTACTCGAAACAAGGCTAACAAAGTGCTTGGGTTCATACAAAGTGTGAGTTACATAAAAAACCAAGAACATAAGAAAATAAGGAGTTTGCAATAGGCCGGTTGGTCTGTGCATGGCAGCTCCTGTCGAGGATTACTACCACTCTCTATCATCCATGAATCTATCTAGCCTCCTTTAAAACTTTCCGGAGTTCGCACTTACTACAAAGTTTAAACTTGTTTCACTCGTCCACCACCCTATTCGTGAACCAGTTCCTTCCTATCTCCTCCTAAACATAAACTTATCAACTTAAATCCGTTGCTACAGTCCTATCCTGCCCGGATATTATAAGAACTTTATCTATATCGCCTTTATTGATTCCTTTCACCCACTTTAGGGTGAACCTGATTTCTCTGTGATCACTGTTACCTAGTTCTTCCCCTACTGTGATATCTCTGATAATATTTTCTTTTGTTAATACTAGGTCTAATATATTGTCACCTCTAGTAGGTTCTGTAATTAGTTGTTTCAAAAAGTTGTCCTGTACTGCGTCTAGGAAGTCTTCAGATTCATAGTCGCCTACAATGTTAATCCATAATATTTCTGAAGTTGAAATCCCCATAATGCACAGGTTGTTATATTTTGCTGCCCTACTCAAATTCCTGCCATATGGGCTGAGCTGCTTCTTTCCCATGACTTGGGCCTGTAAATCACTCCCATAATTGTTTTCTCTTCCTTCCGCAATTTCTACCCATACAGACTTGGTTCCAATTTCACCCTTTATTGAATTATTAATACAACATTTTAATGTATCCCTGACGAAGAATGCGACGCCTCCTCTTCCTACCCTGTCCTTGTGAAAAAGGTTGTACAAGACTAGCGAGGTTAAACTATATCTTGCGCTTGTGAGATCTCACTTGGATTACGCAGTTCAGTTATGGTCACCGTACTACAGAATGGATGTAGAATCCTAGAAAAAATTCAGAGAAATGACAAGACTAATCCCGGGCATAAGGAACCTTGAGTACAGAGACAGGTTAAAGTATCTTAATTTGCACTCCCTCGAGAGACGTAGAATGAGGGCGATATGATGAAGGTGTATAAATGGAAGTCAGGGCTGAACACAGGGGACATAACAAAGGTACTCAAACTATCCATCAGGGGCGAACTCGTGGCAATGGTTTTAAAATTAGATCAATTTAGATTTAGGCGAGAATACGTAAACATTGGTTTGGAAATATAGTGGACGAGTGGAACAAGTTACCAGACATCATCATTAACTCTAATACGCTGGATAGCTTCAAACATACTGTAGGTTGGATGGATATATGAGCGATAGGGGTTGGGTGTAAACAGGACTGCAATATGGGCCATAGGTCCGTGGGCCCACCATACCCTCCCCCACCACCTCCCCGACCTCCACACTCCCACCTCCTGACCTCCACAAACCCTCCCCCCACCTCCACACACCACCACACACTCCTCCCCCTCTACACCCCCACATCCCTCCACATACCGCCACATCCCACCTCCACAACCCAAACACACCCCTCCCCAACCTCAACACACCCCCACACCTACAAACACCCCCACACCTCCACCCCACACACCCCACACACCCCACACCACCAGACACCCTCCCCCCTTACACACCCCTCCCACACCCCACCCCCCCACCCCCCCCCTCCCCCCCCCACACCTCTCCCTTACCCCCCACCCCCCTCCCCACACCCCAACACACCCCTCCCCCCACTTCCCACACCCCACACACCTCCCATCCCTCCCCTTCCCACCCCACACACCTCTACCCTCCCCCCACTTACACACCTTCACACCCCACCCACACCTTCACACCCCCACACACCCCACACCTCCCACACCCCACACATCCCCACCCCTCCTGACACTATAAAGTATTTTCGCTTCAAAAAATGGGGCTCGTTCATCACCCTCGACGAAAGATATGTCAGTGCTGATTTCTCCTTGAAGGCGTGGACGGCAGACGATTGTAAAGGAGCCGCCCACTAAGATTTTCTTCACCTGTCCCAGCGTCTCCTTCTTAGTCTCCGGCGAGTTGACCAGGAAGTTGAGAATAGAAGGGACCAGGTGAGCGTCTTTACCTGTAGGAGGAAGAGGAATAAAGTTAGAGATAATTCGAAGTTTCTCTCTCTGGTGGCTAGTGTGGAAATAGTTATTACCCTATATATATATACACACGTTGGAGTGTCCGTTTTCTGTGTGGTTTCAGTGTATGTCTATCTATCTATCTATTTATCTATCTATCCATCTATCTATCTATCTATCTATCTATCTGTTTGTCTGTCTGTCTGTCTGTCTGTCTGCCTGTCTGTCTAGGCCTAAAGGTTCTAACATTAACGATCATGTAATGAGACACAAAATTAGTGGTTGCTA